CTGTCACCATGCCCAGTTCATCTGCCCACATTTCGCACAAGGATTGTCGAACCACGAAGCGGGCTTCCTCGATGCACCCTCCAACGATAAATTCTACTTGGCAATTTTGGCATGTGTGTATACCGCCACCACATATGGAGCCAGTCGATGTGGGTACATAAACAAATGACCTCACAACGCCGTTTATGCACGAATTTGCATTCAGGAGGATTTATGTCTATTTATTCCACCTTGCTAACACTTCAGTGTGACTGGAAAATTCGAGACCACCTTTAACCACTCCATCTAAACCGCATTGCATTTGCATTTCAAGGAGTGACGAAGCGCTACTGTGCATTGTTCGACTGGACTCCAGGATATCCCCTCATCTAGATTTGCTCTGTGTAGCCCGTAATTTGTCTTGTAGACTCACAAATCCAAAGGCCGACATTTGCCTGGATCGGGCAGTCGGGTACGCACCCCAATTGTTCCACTTGATTGCAGGTACGTTTTGAGTACATGGGAACACTCCTGTCGTTTGTCGTTCGAAAATGAGTCGCGAAAACCCATTTAAACAAATTCATGCCTACCAAATCCCTCTTCTACGGTTCCGTTCTAGAGAGTACAATTGCAAACCAAATTCCTCCCTGACACTTGCGTGGTGAACGCGTTCAATGCAAGTGAGCGTCACCGCCGCCGTCGCCGTCGCCGCAAAACATGTCTCGTGTGCTTTCGGGGGCACGAAAAACGCTCATGCCACAATCAGTGGCGTCTTCGAAGTTATGCACAATTACCACAGCACAACATCCTTGAAGCACTTCAACACATCCGACTGTTGACTCAGTGCAACTGTATCCATTTGCCCTCGATACCTGTAAACGTCGCCTTGAGGGTGAATCCGACTTTGTGATTATTGAAACTCACTTCAAAATTACTCACCACTGTGACTTTCCAGTTTTCCAACTACCCGTGCTATGTGTAGCCCACGAAACGATGTTGCACAAGGTATGCGTGGGTGTGCATGTGGTTGGCACGTGATTAATGGCAGTGACATCTCGAGAGTGAGGCATGCAGGGTATCGCCAGTCTCACAAAACGCCACCAACACTATTGCAGTCTTGAGTCTTCTTGACCTCACCACGGACCGTTTGTGATCATCTCAAGCGTTGATCGACCTCCTAGTCAAAGAGCCACCACGATCATGACCTATTTGCGAGTGGACTAATGTGCATCGCTGACGCATTGCTCACACAACCTGATGTTGTTTAGTGGCAACAGCCGACCATGAAGAGGTGGGCATCTAGTAGTTCCACACATGCCAGTTTGTGCAGTCGGTGTATCCAGATGCTGCTTCACGTCTGACGGGGAATCTGTGGCAATTCATACAAATCTCACACCCAAACGCAGCACAAAACATTGTGTGTTTGCATTCCTCATATCGTGGAGCAAATTGCACACCCAATGCTATTTATCATGTTCACATTTATGAATCCGGACGAGAGCACGCTTGCTTGATAAGTACCTGTGCTAAAATCTGTCTAACACTGGCGTCTTTGCTACTGTTTTGTGAACCGATAGTGGGCTTCTGCATGTCCTGAAATGCCATCCATTCGACATCTCGGGGTCTCATCGCTGCCCCCATACACCGCTATCCTCCTCCAATATGACACCAACTGTCACTCATTTGTTACAAATTCACATGCACCTTGTGAACTAAAAATGTTTATCATTACCGGATCAAAACACCCTTCCGTGCCTCTCTAATTGTTTCAACCCCAACCGTTTTGTTTGTGACACGATTTAACGCAGCCAGTTACCATAGTCTGCCAAAGGACATGTGACCCACACTGACGCTGTGTTCGGGCAGGAAAGACGCTATATCCAATGTGTGTGTCACTGGTAGTAAATGGTTGAGGATACCTCTCCTTCTGCAAGGACATCCACCGGCATTAAAGGTGCAGTGACTACTTTGAACTTTTCACAGTGAACGATTTGATTGGCTGTGACCACTACACCCATGACTTATTGCGAATCATAACAAATTTCTGTGTAAGCCATAGAGTACTCAGGTCTGCTCCAACTTGTTTTACCGTCACTACTGCAGAAGTGGCCGATGACATTGGCCTATCCCAAAGCAGTGCCCGAGCAAGTTCCTTCACCTCCTCCCAACTGACAATGGTGACGAAGACACACCCGACCCGTGAAATGAACAAATCCCACGGCCTCAATGCAACTATCAATCGGTATGCTAAAACGACGCCAGACCGAGTAATGTGTGACACAAGCTGCTTTCTCTGCCAGTGTCAAGGATTTTATGGCATCGTGTGAATTCAGTTGGCATAATTGACGGCAGGTGGGCTACCACAAAGATAATAACTTGGGGTCCTCTCTCATACAGGCGTGCACACATCACACTACGCGGGCAGTTCATTCGCCGTTAATGCAGAGCTCAGCAGAATGTGCATAGGCAGCATTCCATGCTCCTGCACGCAAGTGCTAGCCGGACATTCCACAGGGCGGCATCAGTTTTCACAGCCATCGTTTTTGCCACTTTTTAGGTCATGACCCATTTGGCAACATGGTGCAATTTTAAGGCAATCAATCCACTGATGGTGAAAATAACAAATACAGCAAATACTACGGCGTTATTAGATGGTGTCAAGTTTACTCTCACACGGCTACCGTGATGTATGTACAGAACTGCCAGCGTTCAAGCCAACACCCAGGCTTTGCCACACAAAAAGGCGCTTTGAGGACAGGATCCATACCGCAAAACAAACTGCATGAAGAAACTGACAGGTGCATTTGGGTTATCGTGTTGGCAACAGCAACAACGTGGAGGCGGAGTTGCGATCATTTTCCCGGTTTAAGTTGTGAGCTAATGATACAAATTCTGGTTATTCGCCATATCTTACACACTAACGGTCTTTGAGAGTTTGTTGCGCTAACGCAATACCGGTTCCGGCCAAACCTAACCAAATTATATTGCTAATGCAGCATCATGGATGTCACACTAATCACGTCTGCTTTTCAAGACACAATCATCCGAACACAAATCTTCCCTCCGACAATCCGATAGGAAATGCGCTTTGTTGCTCTACTGCCTATTCAAGCTCCCGAGGAGTAGAGAGCGTGAAGAAATGCCACCATGAATTCGGTTTACGAAGCATCATTACCGATACATCACAGCGGATACAGATTAGCTGAGCCGACTGCTCGGGGACATGTGGGGTACTTGCAGGTGTCGTGTTTTGGTCAGGCTAGGGACATTGGAAACTACTTTACTTCATAAATGATGTGAGAATCACTAGGCGGCAATTATGGTCTCAAAGTGGGGACTAATCAAAGGTAACCATACAATTTTGGCAATCCTATGGCAGAATGACGCTGCCGTCCCGCCATGCTAGCACGAAACTCCACTGAGTCATTTACGCCCATCGGTCCCCCAAACACCCCCCCTCCCTTGGGCTTGCAGCGCAATTGCTCACAAAGCCGGATGCATCAAAAGATGTATAGGAGTCGCACAGTCGTCATTACTGAAACTGGTTACTGCGTATGGATGCGGAAATGCTTGTCACCTCAGATCAGCGAACAATGTGACAACTCCCTACTTTTTTTTTAACCCTATACACCCTAGTGTTCAAGCTACTTGTAAGTATCCCATGTGGTACATGAGACTTTTTGACTTTTGCAGAAACGCCGGCGATATAATCCGACTCATGTACAACCGATAGCGAGGTAATAATGTGACAGGCTGGGAACC